ATGTCTTCCCTTGAAGATGTCCACCGACAAAGCTTTATATCCCCCTCCGTGGGACCCTAGAAGCTCCTCCAGACTGTCATCCTCATGTGGTGATGAACTCAGTGGGTAAGAGACAGGCCCTGGAATCAGACATGTCTTAAGAGATCTGTCACAGTCCAGCTGAATGACCTGTGATACCTTGCTTCACACTTTAACTCTGAGTTTTCTCATCAGTTAAATGGAAACATTGATAGTAGCTACCTGAGAGGATGGTTGTGGGGATACAATAGGATAATGTTAAAAAGCTCTAGGCACAATGTTTAGCTCATTATCATTACATGAGAATGGTAGCTATTATTAGCAATAGAAATCTAAGCCACTGAAGAAATGTTCAGTTATTATCATAACTTCCTTCCAGCAATACTTTAATGACTAGTAATGTGGTAAGTGCCGCATTTAATGTTATGAATTAGATGGCTTCTAAGTTGCTTAGATCTATTAAGTTTCTTGTGAGTTTTAAAATAACTTGTCTTTACTACTCAAAGAAAAAGTCACTTATCAGAGGCCACACCTTCAAGAGTGATATAAGTGTATATGCAGAAATACCTGCAACTTAGATTTCAGACAAAATGCCAAGATAAAAAATGTCCCATCTGTCACATAAGTACTGTCATTGTTAGGGTTTAATTTTTAAAGTAAGCTGTATCATTTTTAAAGTAATAACTAATAGTGACTTGATTATTAGAGTTTTTAGAAAAATTATTGCTGGACTGTCAGATTCATAATTAACTGTGAGAGATTATAGTAAATAATGAGCAAAGAATGTCCTTGGCAACATTCAAATAGAAATGATGACTATTCAGACATCAATTCTGTAACAGATTCTTTAACACTTGGGCAATAAATTTAATCAGTGGTGTGCTGGTAAATGTTTAATAACCAGCTCCCAAGGGAATGGAGGTCCCTGATTTGTAGTGTTTGCCAATTTCTGTGGTGTAAAATCCTCCACCATGACCCATTTCATGTCAGCACCAGCACATCACCTAGATATGGAGTAGTATTCGTAATAGCTAGGTAGTTCACCTCAAAGGGGCTGTTTACATGGGAACCAAGGAATTAGCTCAACAAGTAAAAAGTAAACATAGATTAATGTTATACAAGTTTTCTAGGAAGATCACTGAAGCAATTTTACAATGAGCTAACACCATAGGTATTATTCGCAATCCTTCCTCACAGAGCTGATCCTCTCTCTACAAGTGACTGCATACATCTCAGTCTTGTATCATCTTCTTCTATACTGATCCCACTACACTCTTGAAAGTCTTGCTGGACTGAATTCTTTACCTGGATAGGGGTTCCTCTCTGTATTCATTTAATATCATTCCTCAAGAAATAATGGTTTTCTTCCCTGATTTTCCCCATAAGACTATTGCATCTTCCCATCTCCCTGATTTCAGTAAACCCACCACCCAGGAACAGAGACACATTCTCTATGAACAGAAGGGATTCACTGTCATTTCATCATTTGCTTATCTGCTCTTTCATTTGGGAGCAGAAGAACTAAGCTTTTAGGAATTCCATTTGGAAAGCTGTAGGAAAGCTAAATAAGTTCTTTTGTCTTACCTCTAGCTTTGAACTCCAGTCTATCCCTAGACTACTTCACTGCAGGAACTTGTGACTCGCCAAATTAAAGGATTAAGAAAGTAGAGTTTATAAGTAAAAATAAATGTTAACAACAAATTTCTCTGTTAATTCGTAATGTTGCACTTCAAACCTGCTTAATTGCTAAAAGACAAGCTATTGAATATGACAGTCATCAATTCTACAATCTCTCTGTAGGTTACACTAAAAAGGAAAATTACATTATTTCTATGGCTACAAACAAGAAATCCATTGCTAGACGAAAGAGTTCTGTGGCTGGAGCAACTAAGATGGCGGCATAGGTAAACACCGGGAAATTATCGCCTCATACAACAATTGAAAATTACTGCAAAGGACTGAGCAAACATCATCCAGAAAAACAGGAAGGCTGGCTGAGTGTAAATTCCACAACTAGAAGGAAAGAAAAGCACGCTGAGAGCCAGAGGCGCTGCGGAGGTGAAGTGCAGAGGTACGGCGGCGCGCGCGAGGAAAGGGGGTGGCGCCTGAGGACGCGGCTGTCTTTTTGAATCATAAACTCCCGACGGCCCTGAACTCCGGTTCCGGGAAGTCTCTGGGGACCCAGGTCTCATACGGGGAGAAGCTGGTCTGTCCGGCAGCGAGCGAACTTGAGGGCGGCTTTCCCTCAGAGGTGCTTGCAGCCGTTACCGGAACACTGAGACGCGCGACTCCGGGCGGAGAAATCGGCCATGGCCGTTTCTCCGCCCTCTGACTCCCTGAGACCCCGCCCCACCCAGGCTGCAGCAGAGGCTTTTGCATGTGAATGTACCTAACTGCAGCCCAGCCAGGCAGACCCGGAACTTCCAAGAGAAGGCCCAAGGCCCCGCAGCGGCTTGCATTGCTTCACAGCTGAGCCTCTTCGTGGCTCCTGCTGTGTGGCCTCAGGCAGAGGCTGAATTAGCACCTCCTTAGATCCAGGAGCCACTGTACCCAGTGGTCAGAGGGGGACCATCCAGACTGCAACTCCTCAGATCCATAAGGGACGCACTCAGGGAGCAGACTCAGTGAGCACCAAAGCCCCACTGAAGCAAGTCTTGCCCCAGAAGGGTGTCTTCAGCACAGAAGTTCTCCCACTTTAGACACAGCTGATTCTCACAGCCAATTGGCCTGGAGGTCAATTCCTCCCAGTGATTCTACAACAACCAAGGCACCAAGAGTGCACCAAGAGTGTCCACCCCAGGTAACTGGGGAGGCTGAGCTACTGGGCCCTACAGGACACCTGGCGCACAGGGCCACTCTATCAACACAGGGAAGCTGCCAAAATGCGGAGACAAAGAAACAGGTCACAAATGGCAGAAATGGAGGAAAGCAAACGATTGGATATAGAGTTTAAGGCCACGGTTATAAGGTTTTTCAAGAATTTTATGGAAACCGCCGATAAATTTAATGAATCCCTCAATAAGTATAGGGAGACCATGGAGGACATGAAAAAGGACCAACTAGAAATTAAGCATACACTGACTGAAATAAAGAATAATTTACAGAGATCCAGCAGCAGAAAAGAGGATCCCAAGAATCAAGTCAAAGATTTGAAATACAAAGAAACAAAAAATACCCAACCGAAAAAGAAAAAAGAAAAGAGATTCCAAAAATATGAAGATAGTGTAAGGAACCTCTGGGACAACTTCAAGCGTACCAACATCAGAATTATAGGGGTACCAGAAGGAGAGAGAGGGCAAGATATTGAAAACCTTTTTGAAGAAATAATGACAGAAAACTTCCCCTACCTGGTGAAAGAAATGGACTTACAAGTCCAGGAAGCGCAGAGAACCCCAAACAAAAGGAATCCAAGGAGGACCACACCAAGATACATCATAATTAAAATGCCAAGAGCAAAAGATAAAGAGAGAATCTTAAAAGCAGCAAGAGAAAGACAGTCAGTTACCTACAAGGGAGTACCCATACGACTGTCAGCTGATTTCTCAACAGAAACCATGCAGGCCAGAAGAGACTGGCAAGAAATATTCAAAGTGATGAATAGCAAGAACCTGCAACCAAGATTACTTTATCCAGCAAAGCTATCATTCAGAATAGAAGGTCAGATAAAGAGCTTCACGGATAAGAAAAAGCTAAAGGAGTTCATCATCACCAAACCAGCATTATATGAAATGCTGAAAGGTATTCTTTAAGAAGAGGAAGAAGAAAAAGGAACTCTTACCATTTGCCACAGCATGGATGGAACTGGAGAGCGGATAAATACCACAGGATCTCACTTCATTTGTGGAATATAATGAACAACATAAGCTGATGAACAAGGACTGATCCAGAGACGGAGAGACATTGATTGGACTGTCGGGACTTGGAGGGAAGGTAGGGGAGGGTGGGGGTAAGGGGGAAAGATCAACCAAAGGACTTATATGCAAGCATATAGGCCTAACCAATGGACATGGACAACGGGGGGGTGAGGGCATGAGCGGGGGTGGGGGGGGTGGGGGGTAGAGGGTAACGTGGGGACAAGGACACATATGTAATATCTTAATCAATAAAAAATATATTTAAAAAAAAAAAAAAAAAAAAGAGTTCTGTGGCTGGATGTTGATGATAAGAGTTCTGTGGATGGATGTTGGTAAATGTACTTAATGCCTCTGGATTGTACACTTAAAAATGGTTAAGGTGGTAAAGTTTATATTATGTGTAATTTACCAAAAATTTTAAAACTTTTTAGAAATTTAAAAACAGACATCTATTAAAGAGAAATTCTGCCACTCTGCCCTCCAGAATTTCAAGTACACAAAACAGTACAACACTTCTCCACATTCTTGCCAACAAATAAGTCAAACAGAGAAAGATAAACATCATATGATTTCACTTATATGTGGAATCTAAAAAACAACAATAACAAAAAAACAAAACAGAAACAGATTCATAGATATAGAGAACAAAATGAGGATTGCCAGGGGGAGGGGGTGGAGGATGGGTGGAAAATGCGAAGGGTAATAAGAAAAACAAACTTCCAGTTATAAAATTCATAAGCTCCAGGGATATAATGGACAGCACAGGAAACAGTCAATAATATCATAACAACTTTGTATGGTGACAGTTATAGACATATTGTGATCACATCATAAGGTATAAAAATGTAGAATCACTATGTTGTACACCTGAAACTAATATAGTGTGGTACTTCAACTGTACTTTAATAAACATTTTTAAAAGATAGTATACCAGATTTAAAAAAAAAATAATTAATATCCTTTACTATTGCGTGTTTTTAAAAAAGGATGATTTTGCTCTGCTAGACATTAATGCTACATGTTCTTTTTTTCCAAAGGTCTCATAGTCATTACAATTAACCGATATGGGCTGATATGAAGGAGGAATGGTTTAATCAGGAAAACAAAAGGTCAAAAAGGGAAACATACTGCATTCTTTGCCTCTCACTGGGTCAGGCAGGCCAGAGCAGTCCACTGCAGAATTCGGAATGGCAACTCTCCACCTGGAGCCACTGCTATCACATTCTGTATATTCAAAGTGGTAATCTTTCTGCAAACAATTACAAAAACAAGCCTTTGTTAGAGCCACTTCCGAAGGGACAACTGTGCTTTCTCCATCACCCCCAAACCTACAAGCCTGATTCCAAACTTTACTCTCTGGTTGACCCTCCTTCTTCCCCCACTCAGGCCATACCAAGTAGTTGTTTTGTGTGTGTGTGTGTGTGTGTCTGTTTAATAAAAAATGCATCATGCCAGGCACTAAGGATGTGATGAGAGACAGGATAGTCAATGCTCTCAAGTTGTGTCCACTGACCTTTTAGTCTCACCCACCCCAAAGAAGCTACAGCACATTTCCCTATTTCTTTTGCAGGTTTTGAGAGCTCTAAATAATTGAGATAGGCATATTAGAGCAAAATGACACTAGGAAATTGAATGCTGTGACTGCTCCAAGTTTTTCAAAGAAAGAAATAAGAGAACCACTCCCACTGACCTAATTCTCACTCTGTTTAAAATTTAACAGAGGTGTAATAGTTAATCATCCCAATGCTAGTGAAAGACTACCAGTTTTTCAAGCAGCTCTCCCAGGCTCCATACATACACACCACAGCAGGCTGCCATCAATCACAGACTATAAAATAAACATTTATAATTGCCATATCAAGACCAATCCACTTGTCTCTGGACTTTGGTTGCTTTGAAATTTTCACAGTGCCCTCCACTGGTCAGAGAACATTACACACGTGAGATGCCTGAGCTTAGGAACAGGAACAAAATGCCATTGGAGCATTTGAAGAATGAGAGAAGTTCTGAGTCCTCCCCAAAATATTTTCAGTTCAATATCCTATTAATTCAATTCAATAGCTAGGATGTTGTTATTCTGCTTCATCCACCCTATTTGCCTCCTTTACTGTATTAATGACAGGAGAGAAAAGAAATGTCATCACACCACCACTTGGGAAATCAGGTGCGGGAGGCAGGGAGTTACCTACCTTGGTTGTGTGTGTCTGTCCACATAGCAAGAACACCAGTTAAGAAATGGGTTCTGAGATTCACAGCCCATTCCTCCACATACAACTTATATGACATTGGGCAAGTTACTGACTTCTCAAAGCACTCATTTTTCTCATTAGTGAAGTTAGAATAATAACATTTACTATCTTGTATGGTTATTGTACAAATTAACTGAGATAATGCATGTAAAATGTTAGGCATGTTAGGCTGCACTGAGTTAGAATTTGATTAATGATAGAATTATTATCATTATCATCAACAATAAGGAGAGAGAGGATGATATAGAGAAAAGAGCTAGTGGTGATATGGTAAGGACAGGCCACCTGGGTTTCTGTTTCCCCTGCTTCAATTTCTGCATATATGTAAGATAAAATGAGGAGTTCACTGAATTTGATTACATACAATTATTGAACATAAAACTCATAAACTGAAGTAATGGTAAACAACAACAAACTGGTGAAGGAATAACACAAAACAAAGGTTCATTAGCTTAAGAGTACTGGGTTCCTAAAAGTCAGTAAGGAAAAGGACAAATACTATTTGGGAATATAGTCAAAGAACACAAGCAATCTATTAAAGAACAATACAAATGGTCAAGGAATATACAAAAAAAATGTTAAACCTTGTCAAAGAAATACAGATAATAATGTTCATCAAGTTGGTACAACACTTAAAATACTTTTTTCAAAACTCTCTAATGTAACTATAATAAAATGAGCATTTGTGTGCTTCCAATGAGAGAGCAAAGTGGTACAGGGTTGCCGGAGAGAAGTTTGTCTATATGAATCCAGAACTTTTAAGTGTTCAAACTTTTGAACCCAAAATCTCACTTCTAGCATCTAATTTAAGGGGAGGAAATGTTTGATGTGGTCAGTGATTTATGTGCAAAACTGCTCATCATAACTTTGGTATAGCTAGGGAAAGCATGCTTAATTGTTAAGCATTAAAGAATCTTGCATTTACATTATTTATCTGCTATTTTTCATATGTATTTACATCATTAAATACCTATAACAATTATGTGATTTAGGAAGAAGAGTTTGTATTATTCCCATCATGCACATGAAACTTAGATTGGGTAAATAATTTACCCAGAGATACCCAGCTAGTAAGGAGCATAGCCAAGAGCAGAAGTCAAGGCTTCTGTTTATTTACAAGCATTTTCAGTTTACATAATGCCATTATGCTTAAAAATAGAAGGTTACTGTTTTAAAATAGAAGGAATGGTGACAGTTCCTAATGTAAAAGCCTGATGGCTACAGAAGTCTAACAGTAATCATAAAGATGTCTTATATTCAAAGAGATACAAGAGTACAGAGATGAGGGAAATGATTCGATTTCTCTCTATTTCTGTATTTGTTTTCTGTGGCTGCTGCAACTAATTACCACACACTTAGCCACTTACGATAATAAAAATGTATCTTTTCACAGTTCTGGAGGCAAGAAGTCCAGTAAGCACTGAGCACTTAAACAGATCCCTGGAAATAGAATTTTCTGGGTGATAAGGAATAATTAAAAGAAGGTAAAAAAATTTTCTCATACAAATATAAAATCACTGCATTTCACAGATTTTATTTAAATCATTCATTAGCACATTGATCATTCATTAGCACCAGTTCAAAGAAGAATTCAAACACACATAAACAGGCAATCCAGAAAGTGAGATGAATTGACTTAGAGATGCAGAACTGGTAAATAAATACCCACAGCATAATAATCAATTGCATTCCAAAGGAAAAAAATGTCTTTTCATTTCTATGGACAAGAGTAATTTGTATTCCTCTTCGTTTCTTACACCTTACAATGTTGTAAAATAGCTCAAAGAAAAGGAAAGAATCAGGCCCCTATAGAAACTGAACCAGGTGCACTAAACATGACACCTGGGAATATTTTCTGCCTATTTCAACGTGTTTCAAATTTTCCCTGACAAGGGTGGAGATTCCTGACAAATTTTCCTGCATTTCAGTGTTCCTGACAGTTTATCACCAAACATATTGATATCAGTCAGAGTGCACTCTATAAACAACAGAATGTCCACTCACTATCCACATTATAAATTGAGGAAGTGGTTGGCCCTACCCCACTCAAAAGATGGCAGTTACTCGTATTTATACATGTCTTCAAATCACAGAATGCTGGGGCATGAAGACCCTGCACTGAATAACAAAATGATGGAATTCCCTGAAAACTTTACATTGCAAATATGCGGGGACCAGGAAACAACCCCAAGAGAATAATTATTCCTCATCACCAAACACTTAGGGAAGACTACCCTCAACAGAAATCATGGTAAAACACACACAACCACACATTCACAAATAAAGATATAGGCACGAACTCTCAAATAACAAAAACTCAAATTGTGTTATCTTACACCTAAAACACAAATTACCAGGGTACACCCAAATAAACATTGGATGTCCACATTACCCCCAGACAAAAACTCTTTCCTTGACCAATGTTTAGTCAGGCTCTCTTCCCAATGAATCTTTGATTTGGGGGCTTTCATATTCATCTTTGCATCACGCAGTGTTAGCAAGAATCCTGTCATGTCAGTTTAGCAGAATTCCTCCTCTAGTTCTGATGTTTCCCCTTAGTAATTTTCCATCCATGACCTTCACCCTACTCCTTGCCTATAAATTCCCGCTTGTCCATACTATATAGGAAATAAGTCCAGTTCTGTACTGAAACCTCTTTTCCCCAATAGGTTCCTGAATAAACTCTGTTTTTACCACTTTACTGACCAGCTCTGGTTTTTCTGAAGCCCCCAAACACAAAGGTAATTTACAATATGAAAACCTCATGGTACTCATGGAAAAAGTGGGTTATATCCCCCAATTATGACAGTTGTTATAGTTTAACTTCATATAGGCTATATAATATTTTAAATAAGTCACATAAAAATAATATGCATATATAGATATCTTGACAGTATATTGGCAATATACATATATTATTTGATATATTGATATTAATATATAATATATAATTCTTTATGCATATAGCAATAAATTGTTTTGTATAGTAACATTACCATATATCATTATTTACTACTAGAGGCCTGGTGCACAGAAATTTGTGCACTCAGGGGGGTCCCTCAGTCCGGCCTGTGCCCTCTCGCAGTCTGGGACCCCTCGCTGGCTGCCGGAAGCCGGTCCATCCTTGCTGCTTGACACAGTCGCTGCAGGAAAGAAACATCTGCACAGCATATGTTTCAAGGGACCTGGTGTATATAGCATACTGTTCTTAATATGTTTGCTCCCCTTAGCACTGTGTGTTTTAACCAAGGTCACCTCTCCAAGAAAGGTTGTTTCCCCAGGTAGGGATTTTTCCCTGAAGTTAGGGAGGGGATGAAACTCCTTAACTAAGTGCCAGGCGGGTAGTTAATCACTTTAACTACAAACAATCATGCTTAAGCTACATAATCTTTACTCCCTGGAATGGAGATAAGAAACACCCTAACCTTTGTATTAGAAATTGACAGGATTAAAATCAACTGGTATAAATACGGATGTAACAAAACAATAAACAGCAGAACTTCGCTGGAGATCCAGACCAGAACTTGGCTGGAGATCCTGGCTAGGCTGCTGATCAACTGAACGCTGTCTCTGTGTCATTCCTTCTTCGCCGACTCCATCCACACCTTTGGGGACCCCTGGACCTGCTGGGGTTGGACTCCGGCAGCTGGCTTAGGCCCGCTCTCCAGGGGATTGGACCTAAGCTGGCAGTCAGACATCCCTCTGGCAGCTTGGGAGCACTCGGGGGATGTCCACTTGCCAGTGGGGAGCAGGCCTAAGCTGCAGTTGGACATCCTTAGCACTGCTGAGGAGGCGGGAGAGGCTCCCACCACCACCGTTGTACTGGCAGCCGTCAGCCTGGCTTGTGGCTGAGCAGAGCTCCCCCTGTGGGAGTGCACTGACCACCAGGGGGCAGCTCCTGCATTGAGCGTCTGCCCCTTGGTAGTCAGTGTGTGTGTCATAGTGACCAGTCATTCCCAGTCATTCTGCTGTTAGGGTCAATTTGCATATTACCCTTTTA